CTCCTCCCCCACCCCTGATCCCTCCCCGCGATCGTTAGTCCTCGCCCCCCCCCCCCCCATCGTCGAGTGTTTCAACTGCTGTGCTGTCTGCTGTGGCACCGCATTCGCACAGCCAGCTGAGACTGCTGTGTGTGTGACGCCTGGCCACGACGATGCGGGGAGCCATCGAGGACAAACGATCGCCGGGAGGGATCAGGGGTGGGGGAGGAGCCATGGACGCCGCCGGCGGCGCCGGTCCCGGGAAGCGAGGAGACGCTTGCCTGGCCGAGATTCAGAGGCTCGAGAAAAACAGGGCCAACAGGAGGAATCGCATGGAGAAAGCCAGGTAAATTGTTTGGAAATGAAACAGCATTTTTTGGGATGGACGCGCCGCCAAAATCGTTTTCTGCGTTTGCGTCGCGGTTGTACAGCCTTTCCCATTCGCGCATTGGTCGCCCTAGCTAGAGGGTGGGGCGTGTGTGGTCTTGATCATCTGCGCAAGCAGTCAGATTCTGTCCCCACCGTCTTTCGCAGCAGCAGTTTTTTCGGCAAACGAGGTACATAAAACAGGTGTGCTGCATGCTCTGCCGCCTTTGCCTTTTACCGTTTCCAGTTGATGTTATGTACCAGCAGGGGACGATCCAAACGGCACCTCAGCTACCAACAACCTTGCGATCTTCCTCCCTCTGCATTTTACCCGGTGCATTATGGCCTTGGCAAAACCGCGCCGATATGTTAGGTGTAATAAGGGTGTGTGTGCTTCTCTCGAATGGTTTTTACACCACAGCAGTGTATGCGTCCCGCGCTGCGTTCGGAGATTGATTGTCCTCAACGGTCGCTCTCCCTTCTTTTTTTTATTTTTTATTTGCCACCGCCGTCTTCTCCCTCCCTCCGCTCACCCACGTACTCACTGCCCCATGGGCGGGGCACACCAGCAGAAAAAAGACCAACAAGGTTCGCCCGTCTTTTGAGATGCATTGATGCATTCAGCTGCCGTTCGGTGCCGGCTTCCGTTTTCTTAGCCCGTGGATCAAGCTCACCCTCTAAAAGTCAACGAGAGTAGCATATTTACACGTCGTTACCGCACTCTCGTTCAAAACATGGCCATGACACCACTCTGCGGTGGGTGGATCCTGCCCTCACCAGCAGTGCGACGTGCGGGAACCCCTTGCTGTGCGGAGCGAGCACCGACGATGCAATCGTGCCACTCGGTTTTGTGCCTTGCGCGCACATGGCCATGGCCCGGCAGATAGCGAGCGGTTGGTCGGTCAGCCGAGTGTACGTAGATGTTGTATTGCTCGGAGAGCGGGGCGCGTGCTCTGAGGGAGCTGGGAGGCTGGGAGGGAGAACGGTAATCCAGCAACGGCGCACTGCTGCTGCCGTGTGCATACTGCTGTTGTATTCTGGCCGCCACCTCTTTTGCGTGCTGTGCTGTTTATTCCGGAGCTCTGCACTGCTGTGCTTGTCTCCAATGTGATACAGTACTCGAACAATTACCGCCACTACCAAACCTCCTCATAATTCTCGCACGGGGCTCGTGTCTTACTTCTATATGTGGGAGGTTCAGCAGTATCCCCAACGGCGACTAAATGTAATACTCCGTAGCATGTAGTTTTTTTTTGTGTAGGGCGTGGCACTGCTGTGGCCTCAATCAACAACAAGAATCTCAGTCGAACACGTACATGCAGGGCGGGGGCGTCAATTTGCCGTTGGATTACCGCCGGTGGCCCTGTATAGCGCCGGTGAAATTACTCAGCAGAAGACTGAATCACCAAGTCATTCTGTACATGGAACTTAGCGCCGTTTCCCCTGAATAACATCGGTCGATGCGCCGGGCACGTACCGGCATTTGTGAGGGCCCTCCACTGTATCTATCCTCGCAGCGGTTTATTACAAGTTCTGAATAAGGAGGGGGACGGGCCATTACATTCGTGGGCACCGCCAGTATGAGGGTTCCCGAGGCAAAACACAGCGGTTTCTCTGCCCCGCACTCCCTCGAGACCTCGTGCGGGATCGGTTAACTCTCCTATTTAGTACCCAGTCCCTTCCGCAAAAAACAAAACGCCGAAAAAATGTTTGTCAGCTATTGGTCGAGGGGCTACACTCCCTCCAAAGAATGTTGTGTGCTGAGTGCTTCAGGGACGGATGTAGCTTGTGTAGTCGGTGGAAAGAAGTCATCCCTTTGCCATCCGTAGACCCGCCACCTTTCCCTTTGCAGGAGTTTTTGTTTCTTGGACTTCCGGTAGCTCGCACCTCTACCTACCGTAGCTATGTCACCTTGTATTCTACAATCTCCTGTCAGCATGTTGGAGGCAATGACGGCACGGTTGGTGTATCCGATTGCTGCGGTAGCTACCCAAGTGGTGTGCAAGAACCCGTTGGCTTTTTTGTGTTTGCGGCTAGAGAATATAATCCAGCCTTTCAATAAGGCCGTCGCCCGGTGCGGAGTGTATGTTTTCCCCTTGTTGCGTAGGCTGAAAGCGGTGCCCTATGTTGTGTTGCGTATTTGGCCGTTCCACCAGAGTTCTTCGATGCAGAGGGTGCCGTTTGTACGATGGGGGGGCTCCGTGTCAAAAGACGCGCCCGCGTCAGTGGTGTGACGACAACGACGTCTGCAGACGTTATGCGTTCAAACAGCAATAGCGCCCGTCACATGTGCCCGTAGGCCGCGACATTATATATGTTTTTCAAGGCATCCCTTTTTTTGCTCGTTTATGCCTCTTCCGGCGGCATCCCGTGGTACTGCTGCGTTCTTTCCCCCCCTTTGCAATGCGATGCATGCAAGTAGGGAATAATGGCTACGCTTCGGCATGCTGGTTCGTTACTACCCCTCCACCTCCCACCCGTCATGAATTTTCCAGGAAGGACCGGGTGGCGGAGGAGGCACGGAACATCGCGAACGGTAACCCTGGCGACGTCGATTTCATGGGAATGATCCAGGCGTTCCGAGACCAGAGGTGCGTGAAGCGAGACATGGATACCAAGACGATTGGCGATGCGTAACGAATACGGGGGCAGAGAGAGACGAGAGGAGGGGGAGAGGTAGAGAGCAACAGACAGAGAGACAGGCAGAGACAGACAGAACGGCAGACACTTGCGACAGAGACTAAGCGACATAACAGGGTATCAACCGGGGTATGTAGTTCCGGCGTAACGGTAGTCTGAATATGAGCAGGGAATGGAACAATGAGCTACACCCGCAGGTCTTCAACCTTCCTCGATGTGGCGGTTCCGGGAATCATCGCGTCGCTCTTGAACCCCGTTTCGTCCCAAAGCAGCCGCAGAAAGGCATTACCGTATATGACACAAGATAACACACCCCCTGGACCGATTTTCAAAGCTCGATTACTCCACGACGAAGAGGATGCATAAACGAAACAATACATTTTCGAAAACCTCTCGACGAGACGGTTCCAACGCCGCCGTTTTCGGCGCTGTAACTCTTCCTGCTGTTGAGAAATCGAGCTTTGAAAATCGGCCCAGGGGGTGTGTTATCTTGTGTCATATACGGTATTTAACACAATTTGTCGTTCCTGCACCATACTTGCGCCGAATCGGCAAATAGCGCGTCGATCGCTGATTTGACTATTTTTCGGTATTAGTAGTAGGTCATGTTTCATGTGCCGTGTAGGAGTATGAATTGTTGGCAGGGAAGGCGAAGGATGAAACGAAAAGCGGCCCCGAGGAAGATTTTCCTGTACCATTTTGTGCTCCTGGTGTGTCTTGTTAACTCCTCTGTGCCTGACGAATGGGCAGGGTCGGGACGTCCGTGGGGCACGCTCCCGCTCGCGAAGGGATGAAGATCTGCATCGCCATTCGGAAGCGACCGACCAATTCCAAGGAGGTGAGAGAGAAACAGAGACAGAGGGATAAGCATCCAGAGAGATATATTCACAGAGACAGAAGTAGAGGGAGGAGAGAGAGAGAGAGAGAGAGAGAGAGAGACTGAGGATAGAGACAGAGATAGACATCGAGGTGAGGGAGGTATCAGGAGAGAGAAAGAAGGCAGACACAAGGGCCGCAAACAAGCACACGAACACTCAAGGGCGAAACACGGAGACACAGGCAGGTAGTCAGTCAGTCTGGGAGACAGAAATGCACAATGAGAAACACTGACAGTAGGTATTGAGAAGACCTATGTAGGCGGTTGGGAGAATGTTGCCGGGGCAAGGTGTCAGCCAGGAAGGTGTATTTGCTACTTCAAGTATATTGAAACCATTCCCCATTATTGCACATATATTTATGTTTTTTTTCGTTGTAGTGTGTGTGTTTTTATTATTAGCATCGACCGCGCTAACCGGCTGACCAACGCAAAAGACGTCAGTCTCAGTGGTGTGTATGTGTGTGTGTTTTTTTTTATTATTATTAGCATTGACCGCGCTAACCGGCTGGCCAATGAAAATATATCAGTGTTAGTGCGGTTGAAAACACAAAACACCTCTTACTGGCATTAACTGGTGTGTGTGTGTCTGTTACTTATTTTCAGCGGGCAAGGAAGGACCACGACGCGGTCTCGTGCTTCAACCCCGAGGTCACCGTGCACGACTGCAAGCTGCGCGTGGACGGGATCAGCAAGTACCTGGACAGCGTCGGGTTCCGGTTCGACCACGCCTTCGGGGAAGACGTGCCCAACCAGCTGGTCAGTCAAGACAACTAGCAATATTGAGTTTTTTTTTTAACGCATCTTTTCGTCTTCCCCAGAAGAGAGAGGAGAAAAAGAGGGGGGGGGGGGGGGGGGGGGGAAAAAAAAAAAAAAAAAGGGGGGCCCAAAAAAAAAAAAACCGGGGCCTTTTTTATTAACCCCCCCCCCCCCCCCTTTTTTTTTTTTTTTACAACAGGGGGGGGGGGGAGGAACCGCCCTTTTTTTTTTTTTCCCCTCGGTCGCGTGGGA